GATGCCGCTTGGCCTGCTGTGTTCATCCAGCCCTGCACCTTGTTGTCCAGGGACCCGGGTTTGATTCCACCCCCGGGTGACCATCTGTGGAGTTTGCACATTCTCCCTGTGTCTGCATGGGTTTCCTCCCACAGTCCAAAGATGTGAAGGTTAGGGTGGATTAGCCATGCTAAATTGCCCCATCATGTCCAGGGATGTGCAGGTTAGGTGAATTAGCCATGGGAATTGTGGGATTATGGAAGTAGGGTGGGGAGCTTTAGGTCTTGTTTGGAGAGTGGTGCAGACTTGATGAGCTGAATGGCCCCTTTCTGCACTGTAGGAATTCTATTTTACTGTGTTAGAGTTTGTGGCAGTGCAGTATGTACGTGTTAGAGTATCACTGGGTGATATAAGGTGCTGTGTATTAAGAGTGCGTTAGTGTGGTACTTCAATATATTACAGTGTGATAAGGGGAGCTGGCGATGTTAGACCATAATCTCACTGGACTGGCAATCCAGAGGCCTATACTAGGGCTTTCGGGACATGTTGAAATCCCATCTTGACAGTGAATGGAATTTACTTTCAATTAATTGATATAAAATCTGGAAATTTTTATTGTTGACGGGACATAGGTAACTCAGGCTAGGCCAGCAGTTATTGCCCGTTCCCAATTGGAGAAGATAGTGGTGAGTACTCCTTCTGTGTGCTGTAGATGGAGCCCAGAACCGTTAAGGAGGGAGCTCCAGGATTTTGATCCAGTGACACTGAAGGAGCAGTAAAATATTTCCAAGTTACAATGGTGAGTGGCTTGGATGGGAACTTTTAGGTGATTCCCATGTATCTGCTGCCCTTGACCTTCTAGATGGAAGGGGTCATGGATTTGGATGGTGCTCTCTGAGAAGCCTTGGGTGGATGCTGCAGTGCAGCTTGTAGATAATACACACTGCTGCTACTGAGTGTCAGTGATGGAGAGAGTAGATGCCTCTGAATGTGGTGTCAGTCGAGTGGGCAGCTTTGTCCTGGATGGTGTCAATAAATGTGTAGCTGGAAAAGTACAGTCGGTCCGACAGCATCAGAAGAGCAGGAAAGTCAACGTTTCGGGCTGAAACCCTTTGTCAGGACTGGGGAGGGGGAGAGGAGGCCAGAAATAAATAGAGGGAGAGGTTTGGGGCTGGAGGGAGGGTAGGTGGGATGGTGATAGGTGGATGCAGGTAGGGGGTTATTTTTTTCTGCCTGATGTTGGGGTTGTTTGTTGAGCTGGTCACGAACAATGCCTTTCGCTGATGCATGAGCAAATTAGTATGTAAGAACTGCAAGTAGTTGAAAAGGCAAGTGGCACAATGGCATATCTGTCTTATTTTTATTCATTTTGTGGGACGTGGGCCTCCCTGCCTGGGCCCAGCATTTATTGCCCCCTGTCCCTAGTTGCCCCCTTGAGAAGGTGGGGGTGAGCTGCCTTCTTGAACCACTGCAGTCTGTGTGCTGTAGGGTTGACCCACAATGCCCTCAGGGAGGGAATTCCAGGATTCTGACCCAGCGACACTGAAGGAATGGTTGTGGTTGGGCAGTGGGGAGGGTGGAGCGGATAGGTGAGTAGGAAAATGGACAGGTTGGGGGTGGAGATGTTTTGAAGCTGGTGAAGTCAATATTCAGGCCATTGGGCTGTAAGCTCCCAAGGCGAAATATGAGGTGTTGTTCCTCCAGTTTACATTTGGCCTCACTCTGACAGTGGAGGAGGGCAAGGGTGGACATGTCAGTGGCGGGGGAGTGGGAGGGAGAGTTACAGTGGATGGCACCCAGAAGGTTGGGTTGGTTGGTGCGTGCAGAGCGCAGAAGCTCCGCAAGCCGGTCCCTGAGTCTGCGTTTGGTCTCCCTGATATAGAGGAGATCACAGCAGGAGTAACGGATACAGTAGATGAGATTAGGTGAAGTGCAGGGGAATCTCTGCTGGATTTGGAAGGATTGTTTGGGGCCTGGGATGAAGGTGAGGGAGGAGGTGTAGGGCAGGGGTAGCACCTCCTGTGGTTGCAGGGAAAGATAGCGGGTGTGGTGGAGGGGTTGGTGGGGAGTGAGGAGCTGACAAGAGAGTCGCGGAGTGAATGGTCCCTGCGGAAAGCGGACAGGGATGGGGAGGGAAATGTCTTTTTGGTGGTGGGGTCTGATTGTAGGTGGCGGAAATGTTGGAGGATGATGCATTGGATTCAGAGGTTGGTGGGGTGGACCAAAGGGACTCTAACCTTATTGTAGTTGGAGGGGAAAGGGTTTGGGTTTCAGCCTGAAACGTTGACTCTCCTGCTCCTTGGATGCTGTCTGACCTGCTGTCCTTTTCCTGCTCCACATTTATTGACTCTCGTTTCCAGCATCTGCAGTCCCTACTGTCTCCAAGTCGCTGAAAACCATACTGTGAATTCTCTTCTAAGGATGCCCACCTTGAAGAAATTTCCTTCCTCCCTCTGAAGAGAGCTCAGTGAGTCCGTCTCCCTCTGCATCCCCCCGATTATCTCCTCTGTCCTGAAGCTGTTCGACCACATTCTGAAGGAATCCCGCTACTACAACCACGTCTCCTTCCTTAGTGCCTGTCTACGCAGCCGGCTTATCACTCCACGACTCCATCATCAGATCCTCACTCCCCACCAACCCCTCCACCACACCCGCTATCTTTCCCTGCAACCACAGAAGGTGCTACCCCTGCCCCTACACCTCCCCCCTCACCTCCATCCCAAGCCCCAAACAATCCTTCCAAATCCGGCAGAGATTCCCCTGCACTTCACCTAATCTCATCTACTGTATCCATTACTCCTGCTGTGGTCTTCTCTATATCAGGGAGACCAAACGCAGACTCAGGGACTGGCTTGCGGAGCTTCTGCGCTCTGCACACACCAACCAACCCAACCTTCTGGGTGCCATCCACTGTAACTCCCCCTCCCACTCCCCTGGTGACATGTCCATCCTTGGCCTCCTCCACTGTCAGAGTGAGGCCAAATGTAAACTGGGGGAACAACACCTCATATTTCACCTTGGGAGCTTACAGCCCAATGGCCTGAATATTGACTTCACCAGCTTCAAAATATCTCCACCCCTAACCTGTCCATCTTCCTTCTCACCTATCCGCTCCACCCTTCCTACTGACCAACCATAATAACCCGCTACCTGCACCCACCTATCTCCATCCCACCTACCCTACCCCCAGCCCCAACCCCCTTCCCTCTATTTATTTCTGGGCTCCCCTCCCCCTCCCCAGTCCTGACAAAGGGTTCCAGCCTGAAACATTGACTTTCCGGCTCCTTGGATGCTATCTGATTGGATGTCTTTTTCCAGCTTTTTCCACATTTATTGACTCTAGCTTCCAGCATCTGCAGTCCTTACTGTCTCCATTGTCCTGGATGGTGTTGAGCTTGTTATTAGAGCTGCCCCCATCCAGGCAAGTGGGGAGTATTCCATCAGACCCCTGACTTGTGCCTTGTAGATGGTGGACAGGCTGTGCCGAGTCCAGGAGGTGAGTTACTCGCTGCAGGATTCCTAGTCTGTGACCTGCTGTTGTAGCCACAGTGTTTATGTGGTGAGTCCAGTTGAGTTTCTGGTCAACGGTGACCCCCAGAATGTTGATAGTGGCGGATTCAGTGATGGTAGCACCATGGAATGTTAAGGGGTAGTGGTTAGATTGTCTCTTATTGGAGATGGTTATTGCCTGGCGAATGTTACTTGTTACTTGTTAGCCCAAACCTGGATATTGTCCAGATCTTGTTGCATTTGAACCTGAGTTGTGCCTTGTGGACAGTCTTTGGGTAGTCAGTGGGGTGTATGTTGGACCCTGTAAGTGAGGAGGCGCTATCTGTGAGGGGCAGATGACAGAATGGATATTGTGCACTCACAGTGTTGCTGCTCCCCTTGGCCTGACTGAGAGAGTCAACATAGTGCCATCTGAACCCATTTCTTCCCCGGCCCCAGAGCAGAGGATGGCCTGTATTTTGGGGACTGATACTAGCCCTTGGTGATGGGCTGAATGGTGACAATCGGTGTCATCTGCAGAAAATCTCTGCCTTCCTCAGCACGTCTGGGAGATG